CCAGATGGGACGGCTCGCGAGGGCACTTTCTAAATTTGCGCCTGTCGGTCGGCGGCTTAGCATCGCCCTTACAGAATAGCACCTTTTGATGAGTGGTATGCATATTATTGAGCAAAAATAAAACTCTCCCGTTCTCTCTAAAAAATACGACCCATGTAAAAAATTCAAAACTTTGGAATCCTAAATTTCCATTTGAAATTCTTTTAAATCAAACAGTCGTCTTTGGTGGACTTAGGACCATGGCAGCGCGGTGGATCTCGGTCCTTGCCGGCGGGAGGGCTCTGTTTTCAGTTGTTCCTCCGCGTTTTATTAGGGTTTGTGTCGTTCTCAGGAAGATGAGATAGTGGCGGCTCCGTGAAGATGGAATAAGGTTTTTTCCGCCTAGCCCCTGTCCCGATGGTGTGTCTAACATCATCGGTGGACATATGGAGGTGTGTCTCTAGCGGATCTGTCCTTGGTGGATTTGCTCGGATCTGGTCGTAGTTCGTCTATATTCATGTGTTTTCAGGTTGGATCCTTCCGATCTACGCTACTCTTCATCGGTGGCGGTTGCTGTTCTGTTGCGCTGGTCCTATGGGGCCTTAGCACGACCTTCTCAACTGTCTACTACAATAAGTTTTGCCCGACTCCTGTGAAGAAGGGGAATGACGGCAGCGCGCCTTCGACTCGCTTCAGTGCTTTTAGTCGTCGCTGGACGGTCTACGGATTGGATGTAATTTTTATTATTTTGTTGTACTGTCATGATTAAAGATAAATTAGATCGAAAGTTTTCTCAAAAAAAACCCTGAAAAGGTTTGGAAATAACCAGAAAAACAAATTTCAACACTTTATTTCTTTCCGGCCAAGCAATTTTTTTATTTGAGGAATTACATCGGCGTAGTCTCATTTCTTTCTTGCAGGGGACGCAAAACTGACCCCCAAAAAAGGGTCGCGTTGTGCTCTGACCACCTCCGCATCTCCCTCTGCAATAGCCGTCGCGATCTCAGCATCGCCCGAAGCATCACCGCCGCCGCGTCCAGTCGCTCCTCCCCACCATGCGCCGCTTCCTCACCGACAGGGCGCGCCGCGCGGTGGCCGCTTCCCTGCGCGGCGCCACCAGACCAGCCGCGCCGTCTCCGGCTCCGGCTCCGGCTCCGGCCGCGGCGCTGTCTCGACCTTCCCCTTCTGCTCCTTCGGCGATGGCGGCCTACATGGCGAGGACCATGTCCACTTCGGCCGCCGGGACGCCGCCAGTGTCACTTGACACCATCAACCCCAAGGTGCGACCTTAAGCTTTTCACCTAGTATGCTTGTTCGGTTCGTGGTCAAACGAGCATTCAGACCCTAGGATAGGAGTTACAAATTTCCGACATTTGCTAGGGGATGCTAAAGTCAGTGATTTGATACGCGTGAAAGTGGAGCTTGAATCTGTGTGTGTACTGTATAATTTGGCATAAATAGCATGTGTACTTCTCAGCAGCGATAGGATTCTAATAGCACAAATTTAAGCTTTTAACGTTCATACTGGCATATGGCATTATATTTTTGATGTGATTTGGTCTGTTCATTTAGGTCTTGGAGTTCAAATATGCTGTTCGTGGAGAGATTGTTACACATGCTCAGGTATGTGAATTTTCCCCCTCAGATTTAGCAGTTTTTTTGTTGTTGTCCCGAGTATATTTACAGATGTCAAATATGGATACCAATTAGTCTTACTCCGTACTCAACTGCAGAATTTATACTTATTTGTGCTACTTCATTCCTATGTTTAATTCTAGTACGATTGCTTAGAAACCTGAACCATGGTCTTTGTATTTTTTGTCCTGCAGAACTTAGAACAAGAGTTACACAAAAATCCAGAATCGCTTCCTTTTGATGAGGTTTGATTGTTATTCCATCAACTCGTCGCTTGTTGGAAGGTTTTCCCACTACACTTTTTATCGATGGATTTACCTTCGTTTATCTATTTTGATGCAGATACTCTACTGTAACATTGGAAATCCTCATTCCCTTGGTCAACAACCTGTTACATTTTTTAGAGAAGTGAGTTTTTCCGCCTTGGATTATAGTTGTGTGATGAATGCTTGTTCCACTGTTGCTTATTTGCTCATTGCCTTTGTCAGGTCCTCTCTTTATGTGATCATCCAGCTCTCTTGGACAAAAGTGAGACTCATGCTCTATACAGGTATGGAAAGTTGGAATACACTCTATGCTTGGATGAGTATAAGTAAATTAGTGTTAAAATATTTGCCATATTCTTATATGGTAGGTTACTTTACATGAGTCTTAAGCTGACAGTAATTGTATCGGTCTTTTCGAACAATAGGCTGTCTCAACACTAATGACTGATGATTTTGCGGTAAGCTTAACAACATGGCTTAGATTTTGTATCAGTCATTTTAAACAGGTTGCAACTTAGCAGTGCATACACTGAATGACCCATACGTAAGTGCAAGAAGTAAAGTAGCTGCTTTGCATACCCCCTTGTGTAGTTATGTAGCCTGCCCTTTGCTTGGGGAAAAGTTCTTTTTATTTTCTTCACTCTCTTATTGTATACTTTTGTCCTAGACACTTATTTTCTAGTGCATACACTGAATGACTGAAGGAAGATGAAGGGAACTAAATTTCTAGAGTGAGGCACTAGGCTAAAGCAGATAAGAAAATCCATAGGCCAGGGTTTTTAGCTCCTTTTTGACAAAAAATATATGAAAATCCATGTGATCTGTTCAGCTTATAGAAACCTGAACATTCTGTGATTCACAATCAATAACTACATCACATCCTCAGACTGCCCTCAGAGACTTTTTGTTCTGTGATGTATTTAAGGCTCTGTTGATCAGTTTTGATCAATAAAAGAATTGTGAACCAAGAAAGTAGTGGTGCCATCTCTTCAAGGATTAAAAAATAGGAGACCCGACCTTCAAAAACCCTACCCTATTCTCGAACCCTTTGCTGAGCTCTACCCTGCCCGCATTTATTTGGAAGGGGGCCAAAGAAATGTCTCCACGTGCTGCCAACAGTCTTTCTTCGGAATTGTACTGAACGGGTCGATCCTGGGCTGCAAAGGGTTAAATACTACTTGGCCTAGAGGGGACTAGGATAAACTGTTCCAAGTACCAAAAGCCCTAAGGCTGCAACCGATTACCCATAACGACCGATATAGATTCGGCTTATGCATTGCTATGAGCTGAAATTTCCCAGAAAGGAATTGTTACAATATTCTGAGTTTAGTTGCATGCTAATAGCGAATATTTGGGGTTTGCCCCACTCCCCTGCATGCGTGCGCTGTGATCAATAGTCGGAGTCCATGCAGCACCTGCTGGTAGATCGCTCCTTGTCACGAGGCGCTTTTGTGGGTGCGATCCACTAGTCCAGCGCCCTCCATTGGTGACAACTTCTAGCACTGATGGAAGGGCATGTCCTCTTTTGTCATGCTCACAGCTTGGTTTCTCTGGAAACATTGAAATGACTGTACTGTCAACGGCGCAATGCCAGGTGTCAACCAGCTGATTCATGCAATTCAAGATGAGGCTCAGGCTTGGTGCAGAGCTGGCGCCCCCTAGGGTTATGCACGATCATCCCAGGAGAATAGTGGCATGTGTTTGTATCTGGGTGTTGGGCTTCTACCTCCCTTAGAGGCCTGTTTTTGTAGAACTATTTCTCCTTCTATTTTAATGAAATAATATCAAAAGCTTCTTACATATTCGCGAAAAAAATAGCGAATTCAATTTTTGACTTCTAACTGATTTGTTTCACCATATTGTGGATCACTTTGGTGATAGCTAATAGCCTAACTACTCATACTGCTTGCTGCATTTTGGAATTTTGATATACATGTTTTCATACAGTTCAGATGCTATAGAGAGAGCGTGGCAAATTCTAGAGAAGATCCCAGGAAGAGCGACAGGAGCATATAGCCATAGTCAGGTATCTACATACTACTGGAAGAATGTTGTTATTGGTTCCGATCTTGATCATTCACGCAGCTCTCTATTTCAGGGTGTGAAAGGTTTGCGTGATGAAATTGCTGCCGGTATTGCTGCTCGTGATGGTTTCCATGCTAGTGGAGATAACATCTTTCTTACAGATGGAGCTAGCCCAGCAGTATGTATATTGTATACTGGATTAATATGAACAGTGGTGAATCATTTACTAGCAATAAGGACATTGATTCTTCCAGTTAGAAGTCAATGCCTGACTGAACATATTGTTTCAGCTTGTCATCACTAATCCAGTCTAGTTTCTTTTTCACCTAGGTCCACATGATGATGCAGTTACTGATAAGGTCTGAGAAGGATGGCATTCTCTGCCCTCTTCCACAATACCCGCTGTATTCTGCATCAATTGCCCTTCATGGTGGTTCTTTTGTATGTTCTACAACAGTGCTTCTGATGCTTTGAAGTGTTGGATCTGCATGTTTGATGATTTAATTTCTGGAATAATTTTGGCTTCAGGTTCCTTATTTCCTTGATGAAGAGGCAGGGTGGGGGCTAGAGGTTGATGAGCTTAAAAAACAATTAGATGAGGCTCGATCTAAGGGTATCACTGTCAGAGCGCTCGTGGTCATAAATCCGGGAAACCCGACTGGACAGGTTATTATTGATGAAACTTTTATCTGCAAAATATCCTAAAAGACTTTCTCAGTGATATACTCGGGAAAGTTGTATGTCAGCAAGCTATTATTGCTGTGGTACATACTTACATAGATAGACCATGACAGACAGATAACTTATGGACATATACTGTTTTAAGTCTTCTTTTTCATGAAATTTGATCTCGGTGGAGTGTTATTTAACACCTTTTACTTTCACAAGGTTCTTGCGGAGGAAAACCAAAAGAAAATTGTTGAATTCTGCAAGAACGAAGGACTTGTTCTTCTTGCAGATGAGGTGAGTCCAGAATCTGTATTCAAAGGTTTGCCTGTGTAAATATGCACAAGCTACTATAAATGCCATATAAATTTGATGGGTATTCTAAGCATACTTGTTCATTTATTCATTTACCCTAGGTTTACCAAGAAAACATATATGTTGAGGATAAGCAGTTCCACTCTTTCAAAAAGATTGCACGGTCAATGGGATACACCGATGATGATCTTCCTTTGGTATCGTTCCAGTCAGTTTCGAAAGGTAATTGAATCCTTCTATTTTCTGCGGTCCTTTTCTTTGTGCATCTCTTAGCACATGGTAAGGCTTTTTCTGTGTCCTGCTAGGTTACTATGGAGAATGTGGTAAACGAGGAGGCTACATGGAAGTAACTGGGTTTAATGCAGATGTAAGAGAACAAATTTACAAGGTGGCATCAGTGAATCTTTGTTCCAATATCTCTGGCCAAATTCTCTCTAGCCTCATAATGAACCCACCCAAGGTCAGTATATCATATATGGAGCAGTTGCAAAGTGGAATAGTTATGGCACCTATATAGATGATTACTCATTTTACAGGTAGGGGATGAATCCTATGAATCCTTCATGGTAGAGAGAGATGGTATTATTTATTCCGCGTGCTCGGCGTGCAAAGGTTTGTTCCGCCCTTTTTTTAAAACATAACTTCCCTTATCCTTGTTGACTTTCTTCACCTTACATAGGCCTTGGAAGAAGCATTCAACAGTTTAGAAGGCATCACCTGCAACAAGGCTGAGGGTGCAATGTATTTGTTCCCTCGCCTTCATTTACCCCAGAAGGCGATTGGGGCTGCCCAAGCAGCTGGTGCTGCCCCAGATGCATACTATGCTCTCCGCCTTCTTCAAGCCACTGGAATTGTCGTCGTTCCTGGATCTGGATTTGGTCAGGTTGGTAATCTCAAAGCCTCGCTAAAAGCTGTTAGGTCCATTTTTGTGGTTCAGAGCGTTAACTGACTTTTCACTAACATTTTCTGTCGCGTCTTAATTTTGTCTAGGCTCCTGGAACGTATCACTTCAGATGCACGATCTTGCCTCAGGAGGACAAAATCCCTGCAATCATATCCAGATTCAAGGAATTCCATGAGAAATTCATGGACGAATTCCGTGATGTTAGCCGTGATGAAGCACCCACCGGTACTACGATTGAAAGCAGAGGAGATTAAACGGGCAATTCAAACTTTGGATATAATTGCCTTTTCGGTCGAAATAATGAAGGTCATGCAGTTGTGCTACCCCCGTTCAATGGATGAATCAACCTAACTCGTGCAGGCTTGTTTTACATGTAGCCCCTGAAGTAAACCTTACAAAATCTCGAGAATTGTATATTTGCAAAACCATGCGCTGCTTGCCTTGTTCTTAGGGCCTGGGGGGTGCAAGATTTTACTAAACCTTGAGTAATGTTATGGGGGGAAATCTTACTGTGTAGTAGATGTTTTCAGTTCTGTGATCGGAGGTTGAGTTTGTTCTGTTCCTGGACCATCTTACTTGTAAAAGACATACTGCACGTATGTTGTAAAATCAGAACGGATAGTAGGTGTTTGGTCAGCGGGCCTGTCAGTTTACATAAGACGATCTCCAGCAGCCCACCCAAGGAGCCATCCTTATGAAAGGAACACATCAACGGGCATACTTTAAAACCTTTTTTGGTTATTACTTTAAAACCCTGTAAATGCACGTTTAACTGCATAAAGGAGCAATGAACGCAGCGTTAAAAGAGCAATGATACTGTATTTTTCTAGGGACCAAGACACGGTAGATGCGTAGAAATTTTTCCATGACCCACTTGTGCATATGGTCCACCCACAGTAGCATACATTACTCCGATGGGCCCAAAAGTGTAACGCTCGGCCCACCGTCCTGGACCAGCAGCCTGTCCTGCTCCAAATGCTTCATGAAGCAGCATCATGTTGTTACTACCGGTAGATGCAGGCTGAGACTATTTGACTGTCAAATGTTACTTGCTATACTACAAAAAAAAGAGGTTAGCTTAGAGAGGCTACAAGTCAGCGGTGAAGCTAGTTTAGCCGTGGATGATTGCGGCTCTGCACGCCCAGCTCAAGGCCAAGCAGAGCAAAACAGAAGAGAAAAAGGGCGGAAAAACGTGGTGGCTTTTGCGGTGGTGCGTGTCCCTGGATCGGTGGCCGCGAGATGTAAGCGCAATGATACGGTGTGGCGGATGATGGATGATAAACCCCCGATCCGACCCGCGTCGTCGCCTTGTCAACCGTTCCATCATTTTCCTTTGCGTGGCCTCCGGCAATGCTACACGTACAAACGATTTACAGGCTTTTACAGGATGGTTAATCTTGATTGGTCAATAGGTGAGCGGGGTGGCCCACCTTCCTGAAAATCAGGGGGGAGAGGTTTGTGATTGGTTGTTAGATGGAAGGAGCGTGTAAAAGCGTGTAAGCCTTTGTATGTCTAGCATTTTTGCGTGGCCTCATGATTCCCGGTCCCCTGTCCCCCACACCGCCAAAGTCCACCCCACCACGCCACGCCACGCCAGGCCACGCTCGATCCAGAGCTGGGTAAAATCATACGCCTACGTTGCATGCAGGCCCATGGATCGCGGCGCGGTTCAGCGGCAGTAATTCACGCCCCGCGCGAGTCCAAGATCGAGATCCCGATGGCGCTGGAGGGGCTCTCCCCTCCGCCGCACGGGAGGGGTTACTGCGGTGAGCAGACGCTCACTGTCACTGGTGTTGGTTAGAGGCAGGAAAAAAAAGAATGCTGTTTAGCTACTAAAGCTGCGTAAGCACGCTTTGGCGGAGCTTTGTTTGCACTTGCGGCTAAAGCGGCCTCCGGCCGGCGCAGCCACGGCCCAAAGCAAAGCCGTGGAGGAACAAAAGCGAGCCAACACGCACGTACGTACACTAGGCGCGCACGCAGCGACAGCCTAGCGCGACGCAATTCCGCGCCCAGATCTCGCCTCGTCTCGTCTTTCTTTTTCGCCCAACTAAATGCATCTCGCGGCGGCGGTGTTGGGCAGGAGGCAGACGGTATCCTCGTGGGGATTCGGCTGCCGGCGACTTTAGCCAGCGGACGGGCCGGCCGGCCGTCGTGTCTCGCGGCGAGCCGGGCTCTGACGGCGAGGGAGAGACACCGTGTCAGTGAGAGTGGGGAGCCGGCCGCACTGCCCCCTTGGGAAGCAAAGGCTCTCGCTCGCTTTCGCTGTTGCATGGACGGGTTGGGTGGGCGCGCACTTGCGCTGCGCCAAAGACAAAGGATCACTGCCCTGCCGCTCTTCTCTTCTTACTTCTATAGTGCTCTCTCCGTTTCCTCCGTCCCTTTTACTTTTTCTCTCCTCCAACTGAACTCATTTAGTTTCTTGGACGATCATTCTGGGCTTATTGCATCTCGATGTTATTTCCTTCATCTTCATGTGTGTTTTTAGGGTATCTTCATGTGTTGTTAGTTTAAGAAGAGATGCTAAGCCGGGTACTTCTCTAGTTCATGTGCATTCAGCAGGATGGTACAGTAATTCTTTTGAACTCCTTGGTCTGAACATAAAAATAATAAAAGGTCTACTATGACGCATAGAACGGTCAATTGCTTGTTAAGGAAAGAAGGGAAGAGCAGTCAGTCGCCACTCGCCACTGAGCTCTGCAGATGGCACGGGAATCGAGAAAAACAACGGAAGCCGGTGGCGACTACAGAATTGGCGACACATGCGCACATCCCAGGAGACAGACGGCTGATTGATCTCCATGAAAACATCTCCCGAATTACTGCAAGAAATCATCGTACTACTACTACTACCACGTACACTACACACATCAATCGGAAGCAACGGCGAGGGGATCCGGTCAGACGGCGACCTCCATTCTCGGCTCGAAGGAGAAGGCGGCCACGAAGTCCATGGCCTCGCCGTCGCCGCCGGCGCACCGCGGCAGCTCCTCCCACGCGTTGCTCCCCACGTCGCACATGAAGCACCCGTTGGCGTCCGCGTCGCCGGAGCTGACGCACACCATCACGCGCCCGCCGTGCCCCACGCAGTTCACGTCGGCCTTCTTGCCGTAGAAGGCGTGCGACATGGCCGGGGACATCGCAGCTACATGCCGCCACGCGCCGTCCGAGAACTCCCAGAGGCGCAGGGTCGCCGTGTCCAGGTACTCCGAGAGGACCACCACGTAGGCCCGGCCGTCGCACGCCACCACGTCGATCGAGTACTCGAAGTGCATCGGCAGGATACGCGGGAGCTCGGTGAAAACGCGGCGCGCCAGGTCGCACGCCACGACCGCGCCCGAGTGGCTCAGGAAGTAGGCCACGGCCTCGCCGCCATCGCTGCGGCACGTCACAGCCGACGAGTACTGCCTCGACGCGCTGCGCTGCGTGCTGGACACCATCACGTCGCCGGACTTGCTGAGGTAATAGACCGCGCCGTCGCCGTCGCCGTCCATGTCCTCGTCAATGTCGTCGTCGTCGTGCGGCGCTTGCGCATCCGCGGGCGAGGCCTCTGTCTTCCGCGACAGAGGCACGGCGTTCTCCCACGCGTTCTTGGAGGAGTCGAACACCGTCATGGACAGGCGCGGAAGCTCGCCCAGGATGAGGACCACGCGGTAGGGTGATCCGTACATGGCCACGGCGTAGAGCGCGACTGTTGCGGCCGGAGGCGGCGGCGGGAGCGCCCGGGAGACGCCGCTGAGCGGGTTGGCCACGGTGAGCGCGCCGGTTTCAGGTGCGCGGTAGAGCACGAGCCCGCCCGCCGCGGCCACCGGCACGGGGCCAGGGGCGCCACGGCACCGCGCCCAGGTCTTCTCGGCGGCGTCGAACGCGACGGCGGGGCAGGGAGGGCGCTGCTCCTCCTGTTGGTCGGACAGCATGAGGAACCACGGGTCCCGGGCGGGGACGCGCGCGCAGGCGGCGAGGAAGGCAGGCGACCCCGCGGCCTCGCGCCAGCGCCGGCACACGCCGCGGAGGCGGAAGAAGCTGGAGGGCGGGAGGCGCGCGAGGACGCGCTCGAGCATGTCCTCGTGGAGCTGCCCAAGCTCAGGCGCAGACAGCTCTTCGCACTTGCGCTTCCTGCCGACGCTCGCAGCCACTGCCGCCGCCATGTCCGCTAGCTCCAAGATCTTGGAGCGAACAGAGGAGAAAAACGGAGGGAGGGGGTGGAAGAAGCTGGCACTAGCGGTGCGAGTGAGGTCGCCGGCTTTATATCTGGCGCCCGAGTGAGTGGAAGAGCAGAGAGGTGGTGGTAGTGGTGGGAAGGAAGGTTCGTGCGGAGGAGACGGTGGTGGTGGAGGTGGAAGAGGAGGCTCTTTTTGTTCGCGTTGACATGCAAAGCGAAAGAGAAAGATGCACTTTGGGAAGGTGAAGTGAGGTGTGGGGAGGAGGGCGCTGGGTGCGCGTGTGGGCGTGGGCGCCGGTCGTGGTGGTGGTGGGGTGAGCGTGGCGCGTGCACTGCCTGTGCTCTGCTCCTGCCGTCGTAGTCGTCGGCATATATAGCCGAGCGGCTGAGGGCCAAGGCCAGCGGTGCGGAGCCGGTGTGAAATGACAGCGAGGAGAGACACCCCGAGTAGTGTTCTTTTTTGGCTTGGACTGCATATACTCGTTTAGCATTTTCATTCCTACAGTAGTATAGTAGTTAACGAACGGTAAGGCACACCTTCATGGCACGAAGACCCCGTTGAACGTTTGATTCCATGGATTTCCTTCCCGTGTCTCTGTTTTCTGGAAGGGAGCGGCTAGGCGCCAGCCGCCTGAAAACTGAAAAACAGTAGATTCTCCCCCTGGTGTCTCAACAGTTGGATTAACGCTTCGTCTTCAGCCTCAAACCGGTCTCTATTGTTTCTCTTCTTCCTCTCCCACCCACCGATCCAGCCCCTGTCTAACCGTCTGCCTCCGTTGCCCGCAGCCATCGGCGCTCCCGCGGCAGCCTCCCCTCATCCGACGCCCACTGTCATGCTGCGGCCGCCGCCAACCATCTTCCTAACCTCGGCAATGACAAGTTTATTTCCCGGCGAACCTGCACCACCCGTCCACCCCCACACCACAAAGATAGATAATGGGGTCACCTGCTACCCTAAGATAGACCTAGAGAGCTTTTTCCATGAGTTCCTTTCTTCCCCCCGGCAGTTCCTTCCTTCACGTGAAATTTGACAAACCCAAATTCCAAATTCATGCAACTACATATAGCTATTGCGTTTGTGGAACTTACTCGTACCTTATTTTTTTCGGAGAAAAAACAATGACGGTATTTGAGAAATAAGCATCGGCTAACTCTATGCCAGCAGCCACGGTAAGACAACGGATGCAAGCGTTATTTGAAATGATTGGGTGTAAAGCATCTGTATATGGCTTTTCAAGTCCGCCATCAAATCCCATGACTCAACTCTGGACAGGGGATGAAAACTACCAAGGTGGAGTACGGCAGGGGAGGAGCAATTTCCGGAAGACAAGAAAAAAAAACTCAATGAACCATTCTACTTGTTTGGCGAATTCGTGCAGTGCACCGGATGCCGAATACTTTTCTTATACTTGGGTTGTCGAGTAGTTAACAAACGACGTGAACATATATTGTGCACGGGTTGAACTAGTGCAACAAAACGAAAGGAGTAGTGCATCCAATTGCCCAAAACGTATGCTGGCTTGTTGTATCGGTGACTACTGCATGTGGACTTATCTATAAAGTCAAACTTATGTTTTTTCTCTTAAAAAACAAACTGGTGCAGCGGATGCACCAAGCGGTTATGGGTTGTTGGATGCATAATAAGTGAATAGTACTCCCTCCGTTCCTAAATACTTGTCTTTCTAGATATTTCAAATGACTACTACATACGGATGTATGTAGACATATTTTAGAGTGTAGATTCACTCATTTTGCTCCGTATGTAGTCACTTGTTGAAATGCCTAGAAAGACAAGTATTTAGGAACGGAAAGAGTATAAAACTAGCATTTTTGGGGTTACTGTTTAAAAAAGCTACCACGTTTTGTTCATCGCACATACCTACCAAGTAGGTGGTTTTCTATTCCAAAACACACAAATAACCATGTCGTTTAAAATTGATCCAATTTATGACAGATCAGGTCTGCTCCTAAACAAATCATTTGTTTGACTGGTTTGTTTTACCGTTAACTTACATGTGGGGGTGACATGTAAGTTGTCTCTTCCTTCCTATTCTCTTTCTTCCCTCCCTCTCCTCCCCTCATTGCTCTCTCTCTCCCGAGCGATGATCTCTCTCTCTCTCTCTCTCTCTCTAAATTAGAACCACGACACAAGGATCATGCGCCCACGGTTTTTGGGTAGGATTTGTTCAACTGATTTGGTTGGCGGCGTGCTAATAGAATTTGCGATGCATTAGACTCATTTTCCTATGTTTTCCTTTTTATTTTGCCCTTGGAGTAGCCACGTGTGGCAATTTTTTTGTTAAAGTTTGTTGTGATCGGAAGATGAACTTTAAAATACTCCCTGCATTCCAGAATATAAGGTGTAATGATTTCCGTGCAAGTCAAACTTGTTTATGTTGGACCAAGATTATAGAATAAAATATCAACATCTGCAAAATAAACAAAACATGAAAAATACTTTTTGTGATGGATCTAATGATACATTTGGTATTGTAGATATTGATACTTGTTTGTACAAACTTGGTCAAACATGTACGTATTTGAATTTTAAAAAATAATACACCTTATGTTTTGAAATGGAGGGGGTAATTAATAAAAGGCTTTGTGCATCACTATTTTTTGTGCGAAATCATTCTTGTATTACTCAATCAAAGGGTACAATCATGCTTAACAACGTCCAAAACGACATATGGTCCCAATCCAAGCCATATAGCAGTTCAACCTTGAGTCCTCCCAAACTTTGCTAAAACATGACTAAGGCAAATTACAACTTCGACGGATATGAGTAACACAAGAACTACGTTTGGACATACCTTCTTTAATCTCTCAAATGGGAAAGGCATACTTTGATATGTTTGTCTCTCCACTTTTCACCATGTTCACTACCTCCAAGAAGTTGCTTTCGGCATCGATAGGTAGGTTACTCCATTGTAGTGCCAACATGAGTCCCTCCCAAATTGCTAAGGTTTGGTAGACTACAACACATCATCCCATGTGAAAAGATGTGATACGTCTCCAACATATCTATAATTTTTTATTGTTTCATGCTATTATATTATCTGTTTTGGATGTTTAATGGGATTTAATATGCTTTTTAATATTATTTTTGGGCTTAACCTATTAACCGGAGGCCCAGTGCCAGTTTTTGTTTTTTTACTATTTTAGAGTTTTACAGAAAAGGAATACCAAACGGAGTCCAAACGGAATGAAACCTTCACGATGATCTTTCTTGGACCAAAAGCAATCCAGAAGACTTGGAGTTGAAGTCTGGGATTCCACGAGGAAGCAACGAGGTAGGAGGGCGCGCCCAGGGGGGTAGGCGCGCCCCCCACCCTTGTGGGCCCCTCGTAGCTCCACCGACGTATCTCTTTCGCCTATATATACTCGTATACCCTAAAAACATCAGGGGGAGCCACGAAACCACTTTTCCACCACCGCAACCTTCTGTACTCGTGAGATCCCATCTTGGGGCCTTTTTCGGTGATCTGCCGGAGGGGGAATCGATCACGGAGGGCTTCTACATCAACACCATTGCCTCTCCGATGAAGCGTGAGTAGTTTACCACAGACCTTCGGGTCCATAGCTATTAGCTAGATGGCTTCTTCTCCCTCTTTGATTCTCAATACAAAGTTCTCCTCGATGTTCTTGGAGATCTATTCGATGTAATTCTTTTACGGTGTGTTTGTTGAGATCCGATGAATTATGGATTTATGAACAAGATTATCTATGAATATTATTTGGTTCTTCTCCGAATTCTTATATACATGATTTGATATCTTTGCAAGTCTTTTCGAATTATCGGTTTAGTTTGACCTACTAGATTGATCTTTCTTGCAATGGGAGAAGTGCTTAGCTTTGGGTTCAATCTTGCGGTGTCCTTTCCCAGTGACAGTAGGGGCAGCAAGACACGTATTGTATTGTTGCCATCGAGGATAAAAAGATGGGGTTTATATCATATTGCTTGAGTTTATCCCTCTACATCATGTCATCTTGCTTAATACGTTACTCTGTTCTTATGAACTTAATACTCTAGATGCATGCTGGATAGCGGTCGATGTGTGGAGTAATAGTAGTAGATGAAGAATCGTTTCGGTCTACTTGAAACGGACGTGATGCCTATGTTCATGATCATTTCCTTAGATGCCTTCATAATTATGCGCTTTTCTACAATTGCTCGGCAGTAATTTGTTCACCCACCGTAATACATGCTATCTTGAGAGAAGCCAGTAGTGAAACCTATGGCCCCCGGGTCTCTTTCATATTATATTATATCTCTTATCTATTTTATCGCATCTCGTTTACTATTTTGCAATCTTTACTTTCCAATCTATACAACAAAAATACCAAAAACATTTACTTTATTATCTCTACTAGATCTCATTTTTGTGAATGATCGTGAAGGGATTGACAACCCCTTTGTCGCGTTGGTTGCAAGGTTCTTGATTGTTTGTGCAGGTACTCGGTGACTTGTGTATCGTCTCCTACTGAATTGATACCTTGGTTCTCAAAACTAAGGGAAATACTTACGCTACTTTGCTACATCACCCTTTCCTCTTCAAGGGAAAACCAATGCATGCTCAAGAGGTAGCAATAATGATTTCTGGCGTTGTTACCGAGGAGATTTTCGCCAAGTCAAGACAAAATTTGATCTCCCGTCAACTTGCCAATTTCTAGCGCCGTTGCCGGGGAGATCTACGCCAAGTCAAGACATACCAAGTATCCATCATAAACTCTTCTCCCTCTCATTACATTATTTGCCATTCGCCTCTCGTTTTCCTCTTCCCCACTTCTAAAACAATTTTCGAAAACCTTTGCCTTTTCTTCGCCCCTCTTCCGCTCGTCTCTTCTCACTTGCTTCTTGTGTGCTTGTGTGTTGGATTGATTGCTTGTCACAATGGCTCAAGATAATACTAAATTGTGTGACTTTTCCAATACCAACAACAATGATTTTATTAGCACTCCGATTTCTCCTACTACCGATGCTGA